CTTTCAGACTCTCAGCTCCTGCTAGTTCATCCCACTTCAGATAGTCCTATCGGACCCCTTTAGTTAATAGCTATTTGACACTGTCATAGCTCTGTTGTGTTTTTGTTCCATAGTTGGGAATTAGCTTCATCAATGATCATGCAAGCGGAGATCAAGGAGAGAACAAGTTTTGCTAGTTAAGTAATGCTCTTTTGGCCAGCTGGGTGGGTACTTCCCCAGCAGAGCATGAAACATTTTAGTTACCACAGACAGGGCCCTCGGTTCTCATTGTTTATTGGCATCAAAGTGGTGGAAGCCTTTTGTGGCATGGTTGGGTTTTGTTTTTTTAAAAAGAGACTTAAAATCCATCCAGAGGACAATCCTAATAGATATCAACATTAAAGTACAGGGAAATCCAAATGGAGACCAACCAAAACTTTACTTGACAGAATCCATTGTTTTGCTCTTCCCACGTCGACAGTGCATCTCATCAGCCAATTTACAGTTCTACCGTGGAGGAAGATCAGTCTCCTTTGTGCCTTTGGGGCACCTGGCATTGGCCACTGTTGGCAGACAGGGTACTGGGCTGGATGGACCTTTGGTCTGACCCAGTATGGCCCTTCTTATGTGCCAATGATACCGTAATGAGGAATCTAGCTCCTCCCTTCACCAATAATAACTGTTGGTCTCTGCACCAATCAGCAACTGCCCAGATAACTGCCTCCAACCCAGCCCTTTTGTCCTCTGATTTAATTACTCTTTAACAATGTAAAGACCAAAGTAAACACACCTTTGTAGACACAGTGGAAAACACTGCTAGACTTGAAATAAGCTTAGTTACCAAGTATTGAAATAGAACCTGTATGTTCTCAGAATAAAGAAAACAATTCTCTCACATATAATCTGAACTAAAGTGACCTCTCTCTGTGTTCAGTCACACCTCCCGAGATGTGCATTGAGAGTCAGGGAAGACCCAGCTTTCATGTGGGAACTTGAGAACATTCGGGACATCTCATAACAGAAACGTTTTCCACGATTCAAACAATATGTTGCCATGGAGAACAATCACCTTCACGCATTGTTCACCTTACACTTCTTCCATTTGTGTGTCTGGCCTTGAGGCATTCTTCTGCATTTGGAAAGCACTAGGATATTCATTTATAAGTATCACTTTTCAGGAAATTTCTTCTGTTCTAAATGTAAGAGAATATTCTCTAGCAGTACCAACCAGTTCATCACATTTGCACCAACACTTAGCCACTGCCCTTCGAACTCAGCCAGTCAGTGGGTCCAAAACTTTAAGGCTGCTCCCTAAGGCTGAGAGGCATAACTTAATCCACCTTGTTCTATGCTGGCTCTCTGCAGACCAACTGCTGCCAGGCCTATAATGCAGGCTTCCTTACAGAATCCTCCAGCCTATAAGCAGGATGAAGGAAAAAAACCCATTGCATTTAAAGTCACAGTTTACTATTTTAAAACAGTTTTCAGTACACAACAGAAAGCGAATTTCAAGCTTAGCACAGCAATGTGTGTAACATGGAATCAAAGATTTTCTTAGCGTTATATTTTAATTTACAAGATGTTCTGAATATAACCTGAGGTGGTAACAGACAGGCAACTCCCTTCTGTGGATACCTCAGGTCAAGTGCAGCTGGCCTCCTGTCCCTAGAAACAACTGCCTTGCTCCTCACTCTCTCTCCTGGGTTTCTCATAAAAACCTGCTGTTTACAGCACAGCCTCTTCTTCCTACCCCCATCCCAGAATGTTACACCCGAGAAACTCATAGTCCAAGGTTGCTCACTGAGCTCACATGGCCTGGAACGGAGAGCCTGGAGAGCTTCCCTTCTTTTATGTAGCGGCTTTGCTGTACAAAGCAAGCTGAAAGCCTTCACTGCAAGGGCTCTTTAACTCACACAATATCCTTAACAACTTGCTGGCAGTCGGTACCACATGACATCTTGAGTATTTACGAAGAGTTTAATCCTTCGTGCCTACAGATCAATGACCCCCTAGTGGACAAGAAAAAATGTGGCAAGTAGAATTAGAACGTGAAAACTGGACCTGCCTGTACAGGCCCTTTAATGATAATTATTTTAAAAACAAAAATGATATTTCAGTCTGGGGTAGCTCCCAAAACACTGCTTTTATATACTTACAAAGAGACTGAGGAGAGCACACCTGCAGGTTATCAGTGTGTGATCAGAAGGATGAAGATAAACAATAATCCAAGGGACAATGTATATGCTGAATTTATTAAGCTTACCTAAAGTCAGTCTGACTAGCTCTCTGAAGCAGCAGTTGTCCAATAAATGCTGCATCAGACGTAGACGCCAAGAGCAAGGGATGAAGCCACAGATCCTAATCTAGTTTCTGATCGGAGTTATTTCAGTAAAAAAGTCCTTTCACTGGCACAACCAGGCACACTGGGCGTGTGCACCTGCAGGCATGTGCACAAAGGAAATATAACCATTGCACTACAACCTCCGTCCTGGAACGCTCATGCAGACAAAATTCTCCTAGCAATCAATAAGAGCTTTGCCTGGATTGGGGCTACCCAGGCAAACCGAGGCTCACCATGTTACCAAAATCACTATGGATCTATCTTCATGACCTCGCCACAATGTCATGGCCCTGCTGCCACTTGGAGGAGCAGTGGCAGGGGTCTCCCTCCCTTCCCCATGCTGCAGTGGCAGTGACATTGGGTCCCAAAGGAGTGGCAGCAAAGACCCTGTACTGAAAGTAAGAACAGTGCTTTACACCCCTCTATCACCTTCTCTCAGCTTTTCCTTGGAAATACTTCCAGGCTGTGTCTACACCGGGCCACTTATTCTGGAAAAGCAGCCGCTTTTCCGGAATAACTTGCCAGCTGTCTACACTGGCTACTTGCTTTTCCGGAAAAGCAATGACGATCTACTGTAAAATTGTCAGTGTTTTTCCTGAAAAACTATGCTGCTCCTGTTCGGGCAAAAGTCCTTTTCCGGAAAAACTGTTCTGGAAAGGGGCCAGTGTAGACAGCACAGTAGTCTTTTCCACAAAAAAGCCCCGATTGCGAAAATGACGATCGGGGCTTTTTCCGGAAAAGCGCATCTACATTGGCCACGGACGCTTTTCCGGAAAAAGTGCTTTTCCAGAAAAGCATCCTGCCAATGTAGACGCGCTTTTCCCAGAAATACTTATAATGGAAAACTGTTCCGTTTTAAGCATTTCCGGAAAAGGGTGCCAGTGTAGATGTAGCCCCATAAGTTTTAGCTTCTCCAAGCAAATGCACCTTAGAATGCATACCTGCAGGAGCAAAAAGATCCCTTCTTCTTTGGAGAAGTCAGACCCTGCACTCTCTTCTGCACCCATGTCTCCTGCCCCAGGTGACAACCTCCTCCTTCACCCAAACTCCGTCCTAGATCCTGCACCCCAGTGTCTTACTCCAAGCTCCCTTCTGCACCCAACCTCCATCACAGACCCCAGCCTCTTCCACTAGTATCATGGAAGAGCGCAGCCCTCAACCACATACTGAATTCTTGGTGTGGTCCCCCAACAAAAATTATTGCCCACCACTGCTGAGTTAGGGTGACACTGACCATGAGAAACTCACCTAGTTGAGCTGCAGGATGGTTACCAAAAGCATCTCAGGTGCTATATGAGTTGCACAGGGCCATATGTCATACCCAGAATGTGGCACCACAACTCTGCTGAATCTAGTTAGAGCGCTGTGACCATCAGGCACAACAGAACAAACGTCATTCTATCTGCAACAGAGTCAGCAAATTACACTAATAGCAAACAGACACAAGAAATAAACCCCTCTCCTCCACTGTCAGGCTATTTTGGACAGACCTAAAAAGACTGGAACGTTATTGTACATTGCTTCTCATACTAATATTGACAAATAGAATCATTATCCAGCTGGTCATGTTAGGTTTCGAATATGACACTGCAATTAGGTGGCATGGAGGGTCTATCCCTGCGTGGGTATTTCAGGGGGATGCTGGCTGGATGAGAATTGCTTTTCCAGCTCATCTCTCAGGAGAGCAAGAATGAGCAGAGCCATGGGTCTCAACCCACGACCCAATCAGGACACAGCCACAGCCCACACAGCAGTCTCAGGGCCATACAGGTAGCCCAGATATTGTGTGGCTGCAGCCCACATAACACACAGAATGCTCCACATGTGACCCACAATGGTAAATAGGTAGAGAAGCTCTGGAGCAGAGGAACAAAAGGAAGTGCAGGGGATTAGCAAGTGTGGATGAAGGCATCATCATGCTGTTATATAGGGAAGCATGCAGAATGCAGACCACCACCACAGGGACTTTCGCCAGCACTGCAGTTCTCGCTTTCAGAAGCACAGCATTCATATTTTTCTCTCTTCCTTCCAGGAAAGTGCCATTTAACAAAAAGCTCATTTTACACAGAGATTCAGTGTGGGCAGCCCAGCTGGCCATGACAATACTGCTAAAGGAGGTAATAGATGCTATTTCTCCAAAATTGGACTTGTCTACCTGAAGGGAATAATTTTTTTAAAATGTAGCAGAACAATAGGCATTATAGCCTGCATCTGGAGGTTTGGTTTAGAATGATAGGCTGCTCCATCCAAGGAGTTCTAAGTACTTTACCAATAGGAGTTAATTATTCCTTACCTGACAGCCCTGACAAACAGGTGTTTTCCCCATGTATCAAACTGGGAAACTGAGGGGGCCTACAGACTTTCTGGGCCCCTAGGTAAGGTGGTCCAGGGGTCAGTTCTACACTCCTGAAAGGGGCAGAGCCTTGGGAATAAGGGGTGGGGCTGGTGCAGCCAGCCCTCCGTGCTGCCTGGAGCATGCTACACTGTCCCTCCACCACCACCAGCCAGCCCTGAGAGACACCCAGAGCATCTTTTCAATTGCCCAGCCCAAGAGCAACTGCCCCCTTTAATCCTCCCCATCCATGGGCCTTCTAGAGACTGAGAATCAGAAGACTCTGCTATGCCATAGATGCATATGAATATGAATTTAAGCAAGCAATTTAGCCTGTCTGTCTTAATTTACTCACTGGCACAATGAAAACTTTCACATAACTCATCTGTATAGCTTAATTAAATGTCTGTAAAGTGCTTTGAAATCCTTGTAAGGAAGATTTTACTGAAGAGCTATGGATTGTCATTCTAAAGGACAAACATTCTGGTATTTATGGCTCATAGTTGACTCATCCTTCCCATTTTTAAAGTTTTAACTAAGCAATGGTTAATGAAAATTGCTAGACTAACTGCTTGTGTTGTCTCTGCTGGTAATGCAAAAGCAAACTGCTGTAAGTACGGTACCCTGAAGGCACACATTAGGAGTTTCTCTGTTGAATCCAGCAGAGAAGTTTCTTGCATCTCTGTTGAATGCCATCATGCTGTGATTAGTTAATCATTAAGTACATGGTGCTTTTAATTAACTGCCAATGCTGCTTGGGCATCTGTTCTAAAAATCACATCCGATGATGCATTTCCCATTCTGTGGTTATAGAGCTCTTCAGTAACACAATTGTTGCACTGTTCTTCAGCTCTCCCTGCTGCAAGAGATCTCATGGCCAGAGAACACTGCATGGAATTAAAATGGAAATTAGTAATAGCAAAAAGGTTTCTTTGACAGGAAAAAACAGTAAATTAAAATATTTTTTTCAATAAATACGAGAAAATAATTTTAAAAATTGGAAAGGTTCAAATTTTTGCTGTTGGAAAATAAAGGAATGAATGAAACAACACCTTTATATTTTACTCTCATTAATTAACTTTTGTAAAGACTAGACTTTTTTTAAATTAGAGGAAATCTCTGTTTTTTCAGAGAAAACTGATCACAGCTAACAACCTCTGAGCCATTTCACTGGACTCAAAGCAAAGAATCAATATATGAGTTCCACACACATACACAGTTTACTCCTCATGGTTCAGCTGATTTAGCTGAATTCGGCAACCACACTTCTCCTGCAGCTTCAGTTACATATTTGTACACTTCACTCTTTTAAAAGAGATACATTTTGAGGGTATGTTTTAAAATGACGAGACTGTTTCTAACAAACACCACAACAAACCTGGCTTCACTCTTTTAAAAGAGATACATTTTGAGGGTATATTTTAAAATGACGAGACTGTTTCTAAAACACCACAACAAACCTGGTGTAAACACCAAGAAGAATTTTTTTTAAAAGAAAGAATGTTTTAGTTTAAAGGTAATGTGAAAACTGCAAAACTTGAAGAATGAAAAAGCATTAGGTTTGGGAAAAATAACAAGAGTTTCACTGCTAGTGTAGGTTTGGTTCAAATCTGTCCCCAAGTAATAATGTAAGAGCTGGCTGTGGCTAGTTAGTGGCATTTCTGAAATGGGCAAGGGGTTAGTCCATTTTTGTGTGAGCTGGCACCCAGATTACAACTGGTCCTTAATAGATGTTGCAAAGGCTATGTCTACACAGCTGCGTGATTTCAGAATAATGTCGAGCTAGAGGACTTCTTACTCTAACTCCCATAACCCTCATTTTACACGGAGTAAGGGAAGTCGAAAGAAGAGTTTTCTTCCTTCGACTTCCTGCTGTGTAGATAGCATCAAAAGCCTTTGGAGCTATTTCACTTCAGCTACGCACTTGGGCTACGTCTACACTGGCCCCATAAAACGGAATAGTCATGCAAAGCAGGTAAGTCGGAATAGGGAAATCCGCGGGGGATTTAAATATCCCCCGCAGATTTAAATAAACATGTCCGCCGCTTTTTTTTCCAGCTTGGGGAAAAGCCGGAAAAAAGCGTCTAGACTGGAGCGATCCTCCGGAATAAAGCCTACTTTCAAGTAGGAATAAGAGATCCTCCAGAAAAGGGCTTTATTCCGGAGGATCGCGCCAGTCTAGATGCTTTTTTCCGGCTTTTCCCCAAGCCGGAAAAAAAGCGGCGGACATGTTTATTTAAATCCGCGGGGGATATTTAAATCCCCCGCGGATTTCCCTATTCTGACTTACCTGCTTTGCATGACTATTCCATTTCATGGGGCCAGTGTAGACGTAGCCTTGATGTAGCTGAAGTTGCGTAGCTTAATTCGACTTTTGCCCTGCTGTGTAGGTGTGCCCAAAGGGATTTGTGTGAACATAATCTAAAGTCTCCCTCTCTCCCCTAGAAATAATGGGCCACGTACAGGTGGTGAAAAGGCAGCAGAAATTGTTCCCACCTGCCTTGCTGAGGGATTCCCTCAGTGTGGGTCATGGTTAGTGCAGAACCAGCCAGAGAATCTGTAGGCGCCTACCTGCTGTCACTGGACTCCTCCCATGACTCCCTCCCTCCAGCTCATAGTTGATACAGCTCTGCTCTGAACTTGGTCTGATAAGAAGTGAAATTCCATTAAGCACCACTTTCTCCAGCGCTGAGCTTGGCCCAAAGAAAGGGCTCACAATCTCCATTGTTGCTTCTCCCCATATTTATCAGAGGCACAAGACAGATTGATATGGCATCCCAAGCACTAAGAACAGGCAGAAGGGAAAACATTATTAAGCTTTAAAGAAGAGATATTTAAGGAGTAGAGTTTCACTGGGTCTATCTGCTGCAACATATAGTAAAACAGGTAATTAGGGCCCTGTGTAAAGGCAACATTTTGGATACTGTGACTTAAATGATTGCATTTGAAGCTATTTTTACAGAAATTGAGAACGGCCCTTGAGAACAGCAGTTCAAAGAATTCTATCTTTTTTAAATTCTTTTTAAAAAGGGTGAAAGTGTTACATTTCACAGAGAAAAGTCTTTAGGAATTGCATTGCCAACATGGTTTTCTCATTGTTTCCCATCTGAACTATACCAGGACGCAGCACTTTCATACACGGAGTTCAAGATGTTTACTGGAACTGATTGTTTGCTGATGACATCATAAGAATATTGTCACTTAGGCAACTGAAAGTGTTACTATAGTAACTACATCTTTTACAGCTCTGAAGGACGCTAACTGAGATGTTAAAAACGTGAGCTGTAGCTTTGCTAGTTAAATGTTTGCTGGTACTGAGCAAACAGAAGTAACAAGCCCATTTCAGATATACAGGGGAGAAAACCACATTAGACCTTCTGGAGAGTTTGAAAATGTTACCCTTGAATGGATAACACAGTGCTGCTTTCAAAAACTGTAATGTTCTCAGAATATGCCAGGACATCCAGCAGTGGCATTATACACTACAGCGATTTGAGATAGGACTAAGTCTTGACCTTTCCCACTGCACAAGGTTGCTAGGATCTGGGAGATTGCTTCAGAAAAAGAAAAGAACAACTATGTGTGCAACAAGATTTCCTCAACACGTTCAAGTTGTGAGATCTAGAATTTTGATTCTCTCATAGCTAGGGAGAGCCCATTGGCATGTGAGGACAGCAATTTACATTCAGCTTGGTAGCATACCAGGATAAAGCTTTGGAAAAGAAGAGTGTCTGATGTGAAGAGTTATTGGGAGGTAAAAGGGGTGTAGAAGGGAAGCTTCTGGCTTTGGCACCAATAGAGCTGTCCACACTGGGATTGGGTAAAACCCTGCAGTTTCATACTACATATAGTTCAATTAAACCAAAAGTGCTAGATTTGGGGCAAATGGGTTTACACTTCTTACTAGGTCCAATCAAATCTCAAATCTACCAAAGAACCTGACAATGAAGCCACTGAGTTTCACCACCTCCTTTCCTCTGCAGGACCCGAAATCATTTGCTAACATTTGCTATTCTAATTATTCTGGTTAGCTGTGTAAGCCATATGGCAATGTTTCTGGTACCTGATTGGCTGACATCTGCAACTAGCCAACACAGCATGTACTGTAAAGTTTGTACAGTCAAGAGCGCAGTCAGACAGCTCTTCTTTGGCAAGTATCCAGGCTTAAAATTTGCCATTTGTGGATATTTGTGCTAATAAAACCTGAGTGCTCAAATATTAGAGGAAAATATATGGGAAAGGGTCACAAACACAGTCAGATGAAAAGTCACTCCTGAATCTGAATGAACGCTGGCATTATATTTCTCTTCACAGTGCCATTGCACTATAAGCTAGTGTTATGGGTGATCTACTGGACACAACATATGGTGATTAAGAATTGGGAGAAACTATGCAGAGTAGTTTGTGGAATTCTTGTTAATGGCCATGTGGTGGGGTTATTCTGAGGCCAGTTGAATTAAATTGTGTAGTAAAAAGTTAATGTGAGTGTGAATGTACAAGATGAGGAATGAAATTCTTCATAGTGAATCTGCTGCCATGTTTTGCACTAATTAACCTACTTGTTGGCAGTCTCAGCAGAGAGGTTAGAACCAAATTACACACTTACCGCTGGAGGTGGTCTCTCAACAACAGGACAATGAGATGCAATGTTATAATAAGCCTATGTTGTGCCTTTCTGGGGACAATGAAAAACTCCTTTTTCCAGGGCTATAAATCTGCCACCTTGCCAAAGCACCCATTTAGCTACATTGATCTGAAAGAGCTTTCTTTTAAATGTATCCTGATAGGTGTTTCACAAGGCTCAGGTCATTTTCTTTTTATTGCCAAAAAAGAAGAAGAAGAGAGATTAAGGCCAATGCTAATTTTCATTTCTCCATATTACACTGCAAATCTATCTCCTGTTGGCAGCACAGTGCCTTCCTCAGCAAAAATCTACAACTACCCCCATCATCAGTAAGAACAGGGATGTAGAAAAGGCCAATTACTTTTTGGAGAAAAGGAAATTACATGCTTATAATTGAGTTCTCTGAATATTGTGTCCGCTATTAAGAGCCACACTCATCCTCCCACCAGCCCTTGAGAGTTAGGGTTTTATTCCTATTTAAGTTATAATTATTATAATTAGTCTGAAAAGGATCTGGGAGTTGGGGGCTATCATATACCATATAGACCCCTCAAGGCATCTTTTTGCACTAACTCATTATGACCAGTTCTAAACTTTACCATTTAATCTAGTTATTCAGTACCCAAGGTCACACCACTTTGACCCATGAGCACAAATCCTTAGAGGCTCCCACCTTCAGAGAACTACAATTAAAAGGTAAATAATTCCCAAGTTGCGCTCTCAGGGAAGCAATGAGACAAGTCAGGGAACGAGATCTAACCACATCCTAATTATTACTCTAGTAACGTGCCTAATTGCAATGGTTACAATTTACCAAAACAGAAATGCAGGAGAAGTTACCATTAATTTAGAACTGGAGTTGGCAAGATTCAGTCTTCAGTTAACTGGAGGGGGGTGGGTAAGTATGGGTGGGGTGTCACGCAAACTCCAAAGCCAATCTAAAGAGCTAAACCCTAAGAAATCAAATTAATCGCCATTTCACGGTTTGCACTGAAACTAGGTCACCGTCTTATCCATAATATAGCCCATTTGTTTGTCAGTTTCATAAGATGTTATATTGATTCAATAATGATTTTAAGTTTCAAAGTATTCCAAACAAAGCTTGGGGTATGTCTAGACTGCAAGCTTCTTTCGGAAGAAGCTTTAAAAGAGCTCTTTCAAAAAAGCTTCTCTCGAAAGAGAGTATCCACACATCAAAACCGGACCCGAAAAGCAATCTGCTTTTTTGGACGTGCTCTTGAAAGAAAGCCCTGATTCCTATTCATAGAATGGCCACCAGGGCACCTGTGCTTTTTTCAATTGACTCTTCTTTTGAAAAATGTCCCTGCTGTGTGTCCACACGCACCTTTTTTCGAAAGACCTCTTTTGAAAAAGGTATTCTTCCTTTTAATTTGAGGTTTACCAATGTTGAAAAAACCCCTGCATTCTTTTAATTTTAAAAGAACACGATTGCAGTGTGGACGCAGGTTAAGTTTTTTCAATACAGGGCAGTTTTTTGAAAAAACAATGTAGTCTAAACATACCGTTGGAGTCAAAGTGGATAGTTATCTGAAAACATCCACTCAATGTGCAGCAGCAGTCAAAGAAGCAAATAGAATGTTAGGAATCATTTAAAAAGGGATAGAGAATAAGACAGAAAATATCTTAATGCCTCTATATAAAAGCATGGTATGTCCACATCTTGAATACTGTGTACAGATGTGATCACCTCATTTCAAAAAAGATATATTGGCATTGGAAAAGGTTCAACAAAAATTATTAGGGGTTTGGAACGAGTCCTATGTGAAGATAGATTAAAAAGACTTGGATTTTTCATCTTAGGAAAGAGCAGACTAAGGGGGGGATATGCTAGAGGTCTATAAAATCATAACTGATGTGGAAAAAGTGAATAAGGAAAAGTTATTCTTATTCCCACAATATAAGAACTTGGTCACCAAATGAAATTAATAGGCAGCAGGTTTAAAACAAACAAAAGGAAGTTTTTCTTCATTTAGCGCACAGTCAACCTCTGGAACTCCTTGCGAGAGGATGTAATGAAGGCTAGGACTTTAACAGGGTTCAAAACAAAACTAAATAGATTCATAGAGGTTAGGTCCATCAATGGCTATGATCCATGATGGGTAGGAATGGTGTCCCTAGCCTCTGTTACTCTGCAGGTGGGTGACAAGGGAGAGAATCACGTGAGGAATATCTGTTGTGTTCCTTCCATCTGGGGCATCTGATATTGGCCACTGTCAGCAGACAGAATACTGGGCTAGATGGACCATTGGTCTGACCTAGTGTGGCCATTCTTATGTTAAAAAGGGGTTCAGACAATCGTATAGTCTGTTAGCAGTTACATAAACTCAGTTTCTATGGGTATGTCTACACTAGCCCCCTAGATGGTTCTAGGGAGGCTAATGAGGGTGACCGAAATTGCAAATGAAGCATGGGATTTAAATATCCCTCGCTTGATTTGCATGTTCCATTTTAGAAATTGACTAGCCCGAAGTAACTGCCCGCGTCTACATGCGGCAGTGAAACGGGATTCTGAAATAAAGCCCAAAATCGAATTAGCTGGTAAACCTCATTCCAGGAGGAATACCAGCTAATTCGGTTTAGGGCTTTATTTCGGAGGGTGTGTCAGTCTGGCTGGAAGTGAAATGGTCCCGTGAATTGGAGAGAGCTCCATGTGGCAGCAGGACAGGCAAGAGGGAGGGGTCCAGCTGGGGATTGAGGGGGCGCAAATTTTGCCTTTGCCCCATGCGCATAACACCCTCACTATGCCACTGCTCTCGAGTGGCCACACAAATGCTCAGTTTGCAGGGGACTGTGGTGGGGGGAGAGGGGAGAAGCAATAATTTCAGATATTGGAGTCTTAATTTGAACACTTAAGTGCTGATCTGAATGTAGAGGCTTGGGATATGGGTATGTGATGGGCTCTCAGGGGTTCAGACTATGTGCAGAGATGCAGAGCTATTCTGAGGAGTCACCCTGGTAGTCAGATCAGGTGAATCTCAAAGTTAATGTCTTAAGCTCTTGCCCGTGGCCATTAAGCTTTTCTCATAAGATCCATTGACTTGTGGCCCTGAGAGTAACACCATGTATGGGAGAAGACTACTTAGTCTTTACCCTTTTGATAGACTCTTAAGGATGCACTGTCCACACAAGGTTCCTTCATTACCTATTAGAAGTTGTTTCATTACCAGGCAGTTCAAGTGGTTTAATTATCAGGCAGATTTATTAAGGTGCCAGATACTAGATTTGTGTTCATTCCGGCAAATGGTCAATAGCACATCTACATGGCAATTTGAGAGTAACAGTATGGAATTGTGAATACAACTGTAACTGAATCTTCAGCTCTTCTAGATGTTTTTTACAAATCAGAAAATATTGTAGGCATATTTCATACTGAAATTTCCTTATGGTGAGTTTCCTCAAGATGATCTATGCTTATATTTAAAGCCAGACCTACATAAATTCATGTCTAGATCTTCTCACTCATACTACCTAGAAAAAGTGATACCATCTTATATTCTGAAACACTGAGCATCTTAGAAAATGTGATTAAATCCTTACTTAAATCCTTACATTACTTAATGTCCTAGTCTAGCACATCCTCTAATTGTAAAAAAGTTTCTCCATTAAGCCTGCTTTCAGTAAACTGCATCACCAACCATTAGTTAATTTCTTCATCTAATAGTTTTAATTCAGGCAGTTGCTATCAATATCCATCTCTCGGTGGAAACACTTTTCTTTGAGTACCGTGTTTCGTCAAACTATTAGATGTCCTAAAACCCCTTGGAGTTGTAGATTAGTGAATGAGAATTTCTTTTCGGTGGAAACACTTTTCTTTGAGTACCCTGTTTCATCAAACTATTAGATGTCCAAAAACCCCTTGAAGTCCTAGATTAGTGAATGAGAATTTTTTGGGGTGGGAGCTTAGTCTTGACTTTCACCCTTCTCTGAGGTGTTAGCAGGCGAATGATTTCTCTGTAGTTTTCAAAGATGTATTGGAGCTCGGAAAGCAGACTTGGACTCTTTCCTTTCCTAAAACAGTTACCATGTGTGAACATGACTTAAGTTCCTACCTTTCTCTTGTTACCCACATTCCCCTCTCTCGCCTCCTCCCGTGAACATGACTTAAGTTCCTACCTTTCTCTGGTTACCCACAGTCCCCTCTCTCGCCTCCCCCCGGGTCAAATCTCACACACAGTATAATCAATTTGTAGCTATGAATTCAACACTGAAGGGTAGAAGGTTAGAATTTTGTAGGACTAACTGCAGATGCATCTTTCCTGTACTTTGTCATTACAACAATAAAAGTGACTATGCTCTAGTGATTGGAGCAGGTGGCTGGGTTCTGTTCCAGGATCTACTGCTGCCTCGCTCTGTGGCCTTCCACAAATCATTTAATGTCTCAGTCTGCTCTTCTGGAGTACTACCTGCCTCATTCACAGGGATATTTTGGAACAGGTTAGAGTTCTTGAAGTTCCATAAAAAGTGACATGTGCAAACACAGTGAGCATAATACATTGGAATCTAGACAGGCTGGATCTAGATTAATCTGGGGGCATTTAGACCTGAGATTTTTATTCAGGCCCATTTCCATTGACAGCAATACAATTTCTCCCCTCTCCCCAGCATGTGTGTACTCAGGTACTCACCCCTACCTTTTTCCAATGAATACATCATACAATTGGGTTAATTTCACTATTCTTGCCAATAAGAATTCATTTCTGATGCAATAGTTTCTCTAGTTTGGATTTTGGTCCCAACATCAACATTTGAAATGGGTCTCCAAAGCTGCACCTGGAAACTTGGCATTCACAGCCAACTGCATATGTTCAGCTCTTTGGCTAAGCAAATGCCCATATAAGTGCCCAGATGTGCAATTTTTAAAACCTCTCCAAAAACTGGACCTGAAAAATGCAGAAAGTAGCATATTTATCACATCCAATGGACAAATGGACAAGCTATAGGAAAGAAAGCATATATGTCAGATTCCCATGGAGGGAGATAATACTCTTCTGCCAAAATGATGATTTATGGTAATTCAGCTGCATGTAGGGACTAAATGCTTCTAATTTTGTGTATACATTGGGAAGAAATGTTTTCCAGACTTACAGTGATTCAGCAAGAGATGAGAGGTAAGAGAAAGGATCCACAGTGTTAATGCTTTTTGAAAAAAAATGTTATGACGATATAAACACACTGATGTCCTTAATAGCGCCTCAAGTTTTCAGACTGTAAAACACATACTAACGCCCTTTACCAAACAATAAAGTCAGTATTGTTCTACAAAATATTCCCTTTTTTAGAATGCTTGTCTTGAACTGCCTTCAGCGTTTATGACAATACCAATCAAATGAACAAGAATACATTACAAAATTCTAATTGAGCAAGCCAGCTTTGCTTTTTGATTGAGGTCAGTGTCCATTTCATGTTTTCCTTATGGTTGCCAGGACATCATTCCAACGCATTGTGCAAGAAAACCCACATTGTCACCTCACAGTTCTGTTCCTGTTATTCTGCATACTCATTAATGTGGGCCAGCAGGAGGTTCATTTACATAGACTTACTGATATAATAAAATGTAGGGCAGAAATGTAAACTTTTGCCATTAAAAGTAGGAGTCTCTTTGCATTAGCAAGCCCAGTTCCTTTGAAACTACATTAGGGAGCTCCTTCCTCCCACCAACAAAATAAAAAATGGCTGATTCAAGCTGGAAGACCATGGACAGTGGTATTATGGATTGGCTAGACAACAAAAGAGCTAAGACCTTGAGGGTCTCCAATGACAGGGAGTCATTTCAGGTACGTAGAAAGAAAATAAAATACTTATTTCCCATAAATGCCCAGGCAGTTTGTGGTACAAATTTATAACATAAAAAATATTAAGGAAGAGTGCTCTCTAATGTAGAGCCATCGCAGGAATTCAACAACAATATTCTTATTCTCCTAGACACCTAAGAAAGCTACTGTGGATTCCTTACCTCTATGAAATAAAATAAAAGATTTAACCTCTCCAGTGAGTCATACAATTTTGCAGTGGTTCAGCTCTTCTCCCTAAATGTACATAAACTGCTAATTGTAGAAAACAAACTTGTTAAGGGTTGTGCAATTTTTCTCTTGTCATTCAGCTGAAAAAGATTCGGCGATCACTTGAGACTATGAAGAGCATGAATGAAAATCTCATGAAACAAGAAGAAAGAAAAGTGAAGCGGTGGCTAGCAAAACAAGCCGAATTATCACCATCACCATCATTATCATATAAGAACTTATACAAGGTAATGACTTCTTTTCCAAGGGACATCATGCAGTACAGGGGAAAAAAAACTATACAACAAGACTTGTGGTTTCTTTATGCTGCAGATGTAAGCAGGGCATGATGTTGAGAGGGGGTATTTCATGCCTGGGAAAAGAGTAGGACAAGTTAGATCTCGCTTCCAACTCCAAAAATTCTATCCCACCACAGCAACTTGAGTACCCACCACCAAAAATCTTTTGGGCCCCTGGGCTTGGCCACTGTCAATTATCATGGCTCCATCAATGTAACTTCTTTCAATATAGCCCCATAACAATTGGCACCAGCTGAGCATCGCCTCTCTGAAAACAGCCAGTCCTCGAGACATGACCACATTTGGGCATTTCACCAATTTCCAAATAAATGGAAATTCCATGAGCATATGCCTCCAAATTCATAGTTGCTAAAACACTGTAAAAAAACTGCCACACTTGGAGAAAGCCAACGCTAATGAATTTTGGCTTCCCATAAGCTTGGCTTGGACATACATTTCTGGCAATTGTCACAATTTTTGGTATTCCACCACATGAGAGAAATGTTTCTTAAATTTTACAGTATTAACATGACCATTTGGCAGAAAAAGCAAGACCTGAAACCAGAAAACGTTTGCAAATGTTAAAAAGAAAAACAGAACACACCCCTTGGCCTCGTAGGAGTTGCTCATTCATCATTGATGAGGGCACAACTGGGGCTGTGCTAAGTAAAGAAGGTTTACAAGAGATGTTGTTATTTTGTGGAGCAACTGGGGCTGTGCTAAGTAAAGAAGGTTTACAAGAGATGTTATTTTGTGGAAGGACACTTGGAGGAATTATTTATATGCACCTATAGCCAATTGGCTGTGTTTTGGTAGCATTTGTGAGGGGTTTTGTGGTGTTTATTGTAAGACACCTGAAAAATAAGACTGGTGCATGAAAACTGGATATAAATCATCAACCGCCCCTTTGGCATCTGAAGATATGCACAAGAACTACTGATGATTACCTGTTCTGTTCATTCCCTCTGGGGCACCTGGTATTGGCCACTGTTGGCAGACATGATACTGGGCTAGATGGACCTTTAGTCTGCCCCAGTGTGGCCGTTCTTATGTTCTTAAGAAAGGTTGGAGAAGACTATTTTAAAAGCAAAATCTATCATTCACTAGCTTCACCATCAGCCAATAGGGGGGCTAAGGCAGGTTATTAAAAGTATCAATTAAAATAAATTGACACTTCTTTTTTCTTCATATCCCTAATCTTCCACCCCCAACTGTAACTAGGTCCATCCTTCTTGGCAAAGAGTTAAAGAAACAGCTTTTTGGCCACTTCATTCCAATTTGTAAGTTGGATTTCATCTGGCTCTAGAGTTTCTCACACTTCAGACCCTGGTATCCTTACACAGTAGCTTGGCATCCCTTGGGAATGGTTCTGGCATCTGTCTCCTGCACTCTCTTGTGAACACAGAAGCAAAGAACTTTGTGGTGGTTGTTAAGCAATATGCTTACCCACCTTCTGTCAATGAAAGGAAGAACATGCCAATAAGCTACATAGCTTTGCAGGGCCTATTTATTCTGCTTTTCAATTTAAAATGCATACTAATAAGGATTATACATCTGTTACACTTCTGTTTCTCTTAGTTGATATTGGCAAGTTTAGCACAATCACTGTGTACCAGATTGTATATTATAGATACCCACTGTATACATTATATCATCATTTAAACCAGCCCCATTATTAAGCTGTGTCTGCCTGGGATGAGTTTTCATTAAGGAAAAAATAAGTAGCCTAATCAGAGACAGACTATCCCTAGTCCTGAAAAATTACAACTTCAACTGGGTACCATATAAATCTCCTGTGGAGCCCAACCCCTTTGCCACACACAGGGCTGCATGTAGCATTATAAAAATAGTGCCAGATAACACTGCATTAAATTGGAGTTCAGGCTGAGCACATATCTGTAATTTAAGAATGAAGGCTATAGGGATGTTATAATTATGTAATAAACCAAACATTAAGATAAGCTTAAAGTTAAAACAAAAATCCAAACATCTTACATAAGGGAATGTTCAATGTAGGCAACCAGTCATCCTTATTTCTACCTTGGAGTGACATCATACACGAACCATACAGTTATGATTTAGTACATAATAATATCAGCATACGGGATGAGGCAGCTTCTTTCCACTGGCAGTAGCAACAGTAGGAGGGACTGATCATTCAGAAAGAAGGCATCTTTGCTGGTCATTAGTCTCACTCCCAATGAGGACAATAGGAGATGGCAGAAAGAGGGTACCTCTTCATGGAATTTTGAAAGAGGGTAATTCTTCATGGAATTCCGCATGGAAGAAAATTATTTGCCAACCTCTGAAGGAAAAAAAAATCTTTTAGTTATTAAGAATAATGGCAAAATACTTTTTAACACACACCTTACAATGTTGCCAGTGAGTTTGCCAATATTGAAAGATCTTAGTGAGTTTTAGCTGCATGGAAGATTTGAAGTTTCTATATTAGACTACTATTAAGACCATTAGAAACAAAAAAAAATGATCTGACATACAGTGCTACTTTTCTTAAAGGAACCATTTGAAATTAATTTTAACTTATAAACTACATTCACGTTATGCTCAAGAGTAAGTGCTGTAATGTGCGGCAGGAAGTACTGTAAGCTTTATACATAACAATGGGTTGAGAATCCCTGTTTTAAGTGCAGAACTCAACCCACCCTTAACTAAGGGCCAGCTTTTCCATAAGAAAATTTTTAAAAGTAGGTTACACCCCTCAAAAATTGGCTTCTACTTGAGATTCCTCCTTGGTAGGCGAAAGTGAACCACTCTTTGTTTGGCAATTAAAATGTGGTTATCACTCAAATACCACAGTAATGAAGATACATACAGGCAGTCCCCGGGTTACGTACAAGATAGGGACTATAGGTTTGTTCTTAGGTTGAATTTGTATGTAAGTCGGAACTGGCTCCAGATTCAGCCGCTGCTGCTGAAACTGACCAGGGGCTGACTACAGGAAGCTGGAGGCAGAATTGCTCTGCCCGCAGCTTCCTGGAATCAGCCACTGATCAGTTTCAACAGCGGCTGAATCTCGAGCCTGGGACAGAACAGCTGGGCTGCCAGGTAGGTCCTTGCAGGACCAACCTGGCAGCACCCCAGCTGCTCTACCCCAGGGTCCACAACAAAAGCCTGGTCTGCTGGGGGGAGGTGGGGGGTGCACTAGCTGCGCCCCCCCCCCAGCAGTCCA